TTCTTCCTCTACTGTATGCTATTTGTGTAGTAAGTTTTTTAGTGTTTTCATTTGCCATTTTAATTTATTTTCCTTTGTGTTAATGAAGACATTTTTATATTCATGAAGTCTTGGTTATAAACTTTGTTTTATTGTATTTTTATGTGTGAAATAAGAAAATATGTCATCTTATACATATGCAGCTAATGTTTTAATAATAGAAACTCAAAATTCATTTGAAATTCTTCAGTCTTAGCCTTCCTACCCAAATTTGCTTTGATTAAAGGCTGTTTGATATCAGACATTTATGTTTAGTCACTGGAACATAAATCTTGATGTATGATTTCTCAAAATTCTCTCATAAAATATTTATTAGATTCATCTTGCATAATCAAGATTGGCAATCTGTAGGGATATTTCCAGACCCAAGAATTTTGGAATTGCAGCCTTTGACTAGTAACATGCAAGTGCTATGTAGAAATACTGAAATGATTCTAACCATTGTCCTTTTTGAAAGAGAAAATTAATTTCTATGACCCCTCGCACACTAAAATTCCTACAGGACTGTAGAGAACGGGCTTAGGGCTGGCTATGTTCGCACACACACCTGTGTAAACCCAGCACTTGGGAGCCAGAGGCAGGAGTTTCTGGAGTCCAAGACCAGTATGGGCTACAGGATGAGTTAAAAGCCAGCCACATAGGAAACACTTTTAATTTATTTTTAAATTAAAAGGTATTAGGAGTTAAAATCCTTTTTAGGTGCTGCCTGCTTTTCTCTACGCGTTCTTTATGTGTCCGTGTCATTGTTTACCCGTAGGTGGAATCGTCCTTATCCTGTGTGCACATGAGTGTTTCCTTTGCCAGGATTTGCACTCCTTCTGTTCACAGAGCTCACAGAATGGAGGCACCCGAGAAGAAGGACTTCACCTTTTATCATGGAGTGTATTCACCTGTGTCTCCCAGAGGGCCACGATACTACAGTGGCACTGCACAAATGACTCGTAAAACCAGGTACTTACTGTTATGCAAGTTAACAAATCAGGAAAGCACTGTCTGTACAAGTCACCATCATCTTTCAATAGCTGCAATCACCATAAATGGGATATTGTGCTTCTACTGTTGTGTGTGTTTGTGTGTCTGTATGTGTGTTACTTCAAAGAAACAGAGTGAGCCAAAAATGTATGGAATTCATCCCAGTACTAAAATGTTTTGGCTTTTTCAAAGAATTTGCATTTATTAATTCAAACATCACAGTTATCTATTTTAAAACCATACAGTCATCTGCTATAGCATTTAGAAGACCATAACCTGTTTCCATTATGTATTAGGGGGTAAACATCTCCTGAGATGGACTCAATGGAAAGGGACTTTTGTGTCTATGACTTTGCGGAAGGCATCTTTTACATCTTTGTTCCTCAGGCTGTAGATCAGGGGGTTCAGCATGGGGTTAACAACAGTGTAAAACACGGAGGCCACTTTGACCGTGTGCCGGGAGTTCTTGGAGTTGGGCACGCAGTAGAGGGAGAGGATGGTGCCATGGAAGATGGTGATGGCCGTCAGGTGGGAGGCGCAGGTGGAGAAGGCTTTGCGCCGCCCGCTGGCAGAGGGGACTTTCATCACAGCCACAAAAATGAACACATAGGAGGTGAGGATAATCAGGAGCGTACTCACCTCATTGAAGGTGGCAAAGCCAAGCAGCAGCAGCTGGGGGATGCGTGTATCCGAGGCAGAGACAGCAATGAGGGATGTGTATTCACAGAAAAAGTGGTTGATTACTTTAAATCCAGTGAAACATAACTGAAGAGCATAGCCAAGGAGCACTGAGGGGCAAAACATAGCCCAGAAATGCGATCCTGCCACTAGCAGAGCACAGAGCCTCTGCGACATGGCGACCGTGTACAGCAGGGGGTTACGGATGGCCACAAAGTGGTCATAGGCCATCACCGCCAGCAAGAAGGATTCGGCCACCACGGCTGAGCAAGACAGGTAGAACTGCCACATGCAGCTCCAGTAGGAGATGCTTTTGTCTTCCATGACCAGGTTCTCAAGCAGCTTGGGTGTCACGATGGAGGAATAGCAGAAGTCCACGAAAGAAAGGTGACTGAGGAAAAAGTACATGGGGGTGTGGAGTTTGGGGTTAATCCGGATAATTCCTATCATCCCAAGGTTGCCCACCACAGTGATAACGTACATGATCAGGAACACGAGGAAGAGAGGAATCTGAAGGTCTGGGTAATCCGTGAAACCCAGGAGGGCAAAGGTGGTCTCTACACTCAGGTTTCTGAAGGCCATCATCGAAGTTTCTTCCACTGAGAGCGTCTCGGAAGAAATTCGTTCCTGTAGAGTACAAGATGTATGGAAGTAAGTGGCAGTTCCTTCATGACTCCCTATAGCGTAACAGTCACAGAACTGATGGACAATGTTTGTAAATAAATACATCAAGTAGGGAAGATTCTGTGGTAAATGTGAGATACTTGCTTCAAGGAACAATATATATGCATTCTGTTGATTAAGACAAATCAATTAAATTCATCAAAGTAAATCTCTAAACATTTAATAAAATATTAGAGGAACAGAAGCATTTAGCATTTCCCTCCCAGCAACATAGAACCTACTTCTCTTGTTAAATATCTTACAAAAAAGTCCCAACAATAATCAGGTAAGAGTTCTCGCAAGACTACTTCTCATTCTTATGAAAAGTCTATATACCAATTTATTGTGCATATACACAGAACATAGCAACTTTATAATTTTATGTGTAAAATGGTTGTCAGCAGATCTGAGGCACAACAGTTCCAAGAGTAGCGACTTCTTCCTTGGCTATTATTGGGCTCCAAACTGGATAACACTTAGAGGGACTTAACCAAGAAGGAAAACCAAAGAGGATTCCAGTTACAGTATCATGGAAATAACATTTTCATGATTTCACAGTAAACTTGAATGAAGTCCCCTGCCACAGAGAAACAGGCCACCTCTTCCTGTTTCTTTGTAGACTGCATATAACTGGAGCACCACAGTCATTACAGCTATTTGTTTCCTCAGGGACTCCAGCTCCAGAGAATCACCTCCCCATTATTCCTTGTAAGCATAAACAGTCAATTAAAGCAAATGTAGGTCTCCTTTACCACCTTTAATGGCTAGAATTTCCTCCCAAGCACACAGACAATTACAGCATGAAATTAACATGCAGGCTTTGCTTGCACATGATTAAAATGTTCTTTGAATTAAAAAAGATAAAACTTTAAAATGCTGCCTCCAAAACTGAGTCAGCCTGGGGGTGCAGGGGAGCAAATGAAAAGATTGGGGCCTGTTTGGCCTCCTCGGTGAGCCCTGAGAAGAAAGAGAGAGAGCAAGAGGAAAGTGCCTCACATGCTTACAGAGAAAAGTAGCAGTGCCTAAGATCCTGGTGTTGGCTCAAAGAAGTACCCTGGAGGGTGAGAGACAGATGGACGCCGTGTAACCCTAGCTGCTTGTGAATAAAGCCATGGTGCACCAATCACTCGGGGCTCCCCGTGAGAGGTAGACAACAGCCCCCGGCCCTCCACATTTCAATCTTCCCATCTCCATTACCCCTTGGTCGGGATCGAGCTCCTAGGCTGGTTCCTACAATGTTGAATGTAGCAGACAACGATCAGGGCCAAGCTAGTTCAGCCCATCTGCAGAAGTCACCCATGAAGCTGCCCATTTTGAGAAAATCTCCATTCAACAGGGTTGATATCCAGTCCAGCTTATAATGTAAGCTGCTGCTAGGGCATAAAACTAAGCATATGTCATTGTCTTTGATTTTCATTTGATTGGTAGAAGTTGTTCAGAATGTTGAATAGGCCACATGATCAATTACTGATCAGACCTTTAGTATTTTATAATGGTACAGTAACTCCCCGATGTATCCTGAATAGATAACCACTCGGCTTTTGAGAAATAGACTCTGATGTTTTAACTGAGCTGCTGAGCAGTGGATGGTTGTCTTCAGGGTGCTTATTTGGCACGTAAACTCCATTTTCTGTCATGAGCAGGTATCATCCCTCCCTCCTGCCGTTCCATAAAATAGGGGCTCTTGGGTCATCAGCTGCCCTCCCGTTCTTGAAGACAGATAAGAATGCAGCACAGCGTGCATGGCCCATACTTTCTTGGCCTCCTTTCCTCCTCCTCCCGGACTGAACTCATGGCCTCACGGGGCGTGCTGTGCCCCATCACAGCTTGTACGTGGAAGAAAGAATCAGATTCCCTGCAAGGAGCTGGCACACAGAAGTGTAGTCGATGTGCTTGGCCCTTCTTGGACTCGTGGCCCTGCAGGCCATCTTTTCATCTCCAACCATGCATTCCAGGAAGTATGGGGCGCTTGGCTCCAAAATCCCTTATCTGTGCATATCCATCTCACGTATACCTCTGCCCACCTCCCCCCACAGTCGTATGCCTTGAATAATAACAAAAATGTATTTATTTTGCACTTGATTGGTGCGGTGGATACAGGGATTTAGACCTACTTCTGCCAGTTTTCTGACGTGATGAGTCTCCTCCAGTCTCTTTCCTGCCTTTATGTGCATATGAGTCAGACCCACAGTGTCTGTAATACAACCACTCTCTCCTTTTGCTAAGAGGAAGTTAGTCTGTTATAGAGTTGTATTTTTTTAAAAATTTAATGCCCCACAGTGAGTATGCTTGGTTTTATTCCTGTCTCCTGCTTGTTTTTTGTTTTTTGTTTTTGTTTTTGTTTTTGTTTTGCAATTCTCATCTCCATCTCTATAGCTAATGGCTTAATCGATGTGTTATTCTTGCTTGTGCTTGCTACTGCCTCTCCAGAGTTTAGCTGTTCAGAGACGTTTGCACAGTTACCAAGTGCGCATCGGGCCCTACTCACCCGCACTTCCAATGTCACCGTCACCTCATCCGTTCTCTCTGTAACACTTCAACTCCGGAAGCTTAGGCTGCATCAGGAATGTGGGCTCTGTGTCCCACACAAGCTCTCACCATGGTGAATGCACAGACTCATGCCCTGAGCCGCAAGAATGTGAGAGAGCCTATGGGGAGTGGGCAGACTTGGAAAGATTTCAGATTTCAATGCAATTTAAAATAAGTATACTTTCATGCAATTATATATAAAACTAGTCAAATATCATCTTATGATCATATCCACCCATTTCCATGAAAAATTAATAAAATTTGATTCCCCCTCCATACAAGTTGTGTTCTTTTGTAGCAGTGGTGAGAAATTTTAAATGCACGAAGTAATTCATTTATTGGAAAACTACTGATTTGGATCATCTTTGCTAGGTTAGAAATTCTGATTATCTGGTAAGACACTGCTGAGTTAAAAGTAAACAAATAGTTTACATGAAACAAATTAGCAGATGCATGAAAAATAGTTTTGAAGCAAGAGGATAGATAATTTGGAAAACTGTTTGAACTTCTTGCCATTTAATCTCTCTTCCATTTTGGTCCTCATTGGCAGGTTATGGACTGTGAGTTTTTCAAAGAAGAGGAAACGTGGCATATTCTAAGGCTGTCTGCCTGACTTATTTCACTTTTACCACTAGCTTCTCTTAGGTCTTTGAAAAGAAAGTTTTGTATTAATATCTGCTCAGTGCTTCTTTGTAAAAAAGAATTTTTTTGTTGATGTCTTGCATTCTTAGTAATTACTTTGAGAATGATGCAAAGTGTTAAAAGAAGAGCAGTAAATGTACTTATAATAGCATAGGATGGATCCTAAACATAGATTCCAGCTCTTGTGTATGCTGAGGAAAGAATCACAAGTGTACATCAGTGGTAACAGAAAAACAGCTGCATTAATTGAAGACCTCAGGCATTCTCTGGCACTGACTTGTCCTGATTGATCCCAGCCCACTCTGACATTTCCCTCTTATCTCCCATCCCCATCCTTTCAGATCAGGTCAACTTTTGTATCCTAAATGAGAAACTTTCTTCCTTTGTAAGAGTTATTCATTCAGAGATTGTCACACCTTGAATAATAATTATTCATTTGTTGTTGTTGTTTTTTTAGTCATTTCTGGGATAATAAAGATGACAATTTATAGAACTAAGTCAGTTTTGTCATTTTTACATGCTTGAGAGTGTCTCAGTCACCGAATTTTATTGGAATTCTTCTCTGACCCCAGCAAGTCTATACTACAGAAGCAGTCTGGTTCTCTGAGTCCAAATACGTTTGCACAGCTTATGAAAATATTTACTTAAAGCTGCAAGGAAACTACACAGTGGTAGGTGCTGAGACATTAGTATCAGTGCACAAATTCCTTAACCAAAACTTCTCATTTTGGAAAAACAACATAGACTATTACCATTTAGAACTGCAATGTAATAACACAGGTAACTAATAACTTAAAGGAAATAATTAATTGTATAATTGCTCTTGTTAGCACATGGCCTTCAGCAGTCTTTATACTTTGACTTTTGACTTATACATCATTCTGGGTATGTTTAAAATAGGAAAAGATAAAGAAAAGCTTTTGTTTTTCAGTGACCTGTTTTAAAATGATCTCTTGCTTAGACTTTAAAGGTGTTTCAGTGATTTAATCTCTCCCATGACTTTAATTGAAACACCACACCAAACTTTTTGATGTGGGTCAGCCACAGAGGCTTCCAAGCAAACATTTACTTTTGTTAGTCATGCATTAAAAATAGCTGACACTTGGACAGATAACTATAAAAAGTGGCTGAATTTCACCTGCCAATTTCTATTGTTTTTCCAAGTTTACCTCAAATCCCTTGAAACAATCGTGGTCCTTTGTGTTTTCCAATGCCACTATCCATGTACATGCTTTAAAAGTGAATACTCGCTAAACAGCGTTGTTACCAGTTTGGGAGTCACACCAGCACCGCTGAATTTCTTCTCTGACGTGAAGCTTGCAGAACTGTGCATGAGAGTAACAACTGGTGGATTTAAAGCCTCCATCCTCTCATCAATAAGGCTGTTTTGCCTCTAATCCCAGCATGTGGGAGGCTGAGGCAGGAGGATCACTGTGAGTTCGAGACCAGCCTGGGCTACATAGTGGATTCCAGGACAGTCTAGCTACATAGTGAGACCCTGTCTCAAAAAACAAAGAATAAATAAATAAATAAATAAATGAATAACACGTTGATTGCTGTTGCATTTTTCTTACAACCAGAAGATCACCATGTTCAAGTTCCTACATGACTTAGCGATTTAAATTAATTATAGTCTAAGAAGGAAGGATTTTCTTCAGATTGTTTTGTTTGCAGCTCAGGACAATAAAAGTAGCCAAGGTTCTCTAAGGTTGACTCCCCTGGCCACCCTGCTTTCCTTCACACCTGTTCTCCCTGTGCAGCTAAGATGCTCCTGATAAACAGTAAGTTTTCTTCCAATCCGTTGTGGTCGAGATCTTAAGCATCCCCCCAAACCTCATGTACTTGGAAGCTGACTGCAACATGGGAGTGATCTGTATCCATAAGTAAATTTTCTACTGATGAGTTCAGTAGCTCAATATGCTGAAAGGAGGTGGGGCTTCCTGAGAGAGAGGTCACCGGGGTGTGGGCTGGACACTTCCCCTGTAATCACGTTCCAGACTCTTCCTTCTTTTTTCACTTCCGGTTGCCATGGATTGCACAGCATGCCTCTGTCAAACCCTCCTGCCATGGTAAAGAATCTTTTCAATAAATGGTGCCGGAAAGCCTGGGTGTAAGATTTCAAAATGAAAGAATGTAGGCATGGACTGTGCATCCTTCACTGGGTCCCAGGACTGAAGTAAAGCGCAAGCATCTACATCCGCATCCCTAGACGATGGTACAGACGACAGTGCAGATGGCCTGGATGCATCCATGAATTTATTTCTATTAGAACATATTCTTAGCACGCAATGTTTACATTCCGCATGAGGAGCTTGTGCGTGTACACCTTAATTGCTTTTTGGACCCCTTTCCCTCCCTCCCTGATCCTCCCTGCATCCCTTGATCCTCTTTCCCTTTGAAAAAAGTCTATCTCCCTACCTCCCGTTGTCTATCCTTAATTTTGTTCTTTATGTATGCTTGGGGTTTCTCCTACAAGAGAAACCAGGCAATGTCTAAGCTTCTGTGTTTGGTTTATTTCACTTAATATTAGATCCACTTTCCTACAAATGACTCAAGTTTATCCTTCTTTGAGGCAGGGTAGGGCTCCGTTCTGTATAAATACCCCATTTTCTTTTGCCTTGCATCTGTTAATGGGCACACAGGCTGCTTCCAAGATTTAACTATTATGAATGGTGCTGTTATAAAGATGGGTGTGCATGGATCACTGTAATATGATGTGCTGATTTTTAATAGAGTACAAAAATCAAAATCATTAAGGAAAACATTGATTTTCTGCAAGTATTCCAATGAATTCTACTCTCTGAAATACAATATATAATCTTTAAAAGGTTTCCATTGATTAAACAGTTCTTCTCCTGTCCTTCCTCCTCCTTTTCCCCTTTCATTTCCCTTTCTCTTCTCTTTCCCTCCCTCCCCTTCCCCTTTCTGTCTCCTTCTCCTATCTCTTCACCCTCCCTTCTGTGGAAATATCCAGTTCTGGATTTTAAATATAAAAGTGCATTCAAAGCTTATAAAGTGATGACTAAAATACAAATGTTATATTGGAAGACGAAAAGAAGTTAGCGCTGTGACCACAGATGACTTCATCCAAATTTGGGTACCATTCAGAGTGAAACCTGGACCACTGGAATTGACCGTGGGAATGCAGTAATATTGAAAATTAGTAATTTTAAAAATAAGATGCTGCAGGAATATTTCTAATTTAAAAAGACCTCAGCTGTTTTTATTGCCTCAGTTTTGGCTTACATGCCAAAGTAAGTTATCTATAAAGTAGAAGCAAAAATAACAAAAAACAGCAGGTATTTTTCAAAGATCAGTTTACTTATGTTGATGTTACAGACATAGCCAAGCTTTTGGTTTTACCTTGATTACCAGAGTTACAACCTTTACACAGAGGTAAGTTGTTTGCTCTTTTAAATTGTTTTTAAAGGTGTGTCTATCAATATATTAATGATTAGGAAAAAAATATATTCAAAGTCACAGAGGAAGAAATTTTCTCTAATTGCTTTGCTTTTTGTTCATAACAACACATTTCGAATTCTCCAAGGTCTGAGTCCCCAAGGACAAATAGGTAAATGTAGTTTTCCTCTCTGACTCTCCCATGAGGAGTCTGCATCCCCTCACAGTTTCTTTTAGTTGCCACATCATTAGTTGGGCATCATCACTGAAGTCTCTTTGGCAAGAGTTACTCATGATTTTTAAAGTAATGAGAAAACTTAGGAATACATTTCAATCTGGAAGAAAGTTGTGCACATCTTTTTTAACAAGGACAGGGAGGTAATCAACTTTAAAATGTGCATTGGAAAAAAATGTAGCTGTTGGTAAGCTGTTTCATTGGTCAGCATCATTTTTATGTGATGAATATTGAAACAAGGAAAAAAAGTTCGGAGGAATTTTGGAGCTGAAGGACAATAATACCTACTTAGTTTACCCTGCAGTGCATGCACAGGGTGCTGAACTTTGCTTTGACTCTTTCTGGGCTCATTTCATTGAGTTTGAAACTATGTCTTTAAATTTTATGTTAGGTATACTATGGGTAATTAATTGAGGTATGTTTTGTCCTGGTGAAATTAAAAGAATTCGGGAAAAATAAAAGTTAAAGCATACAAACACACACACACACACACACACACACACACATACACATACATACATATACACACACACACACAATAAAAACATGCCAGGTATGTTATACATATTGTGCTTAACGAGGTGAAAGGAAAATATAGTTATAGTTTGATTAAACAAGTACCTTTTGTTAGGTGAGCTATGTCAGAACTTGTAATTAAAGCAGAACATGTATAACACACTAGAAAAGAGGCTATTTCTCTGGATTACAAGAATTAATCATTCTTAACAGAGTAAAGTTTTTAAACTATTGAAATCAATTGAAAATTAAACTTACTGACAAAACAATGTGTCAGCGTGCTTTCTAGAACTATTATAGAACAGCACATGCCATAGTTTGAGTGAGCTGCATTTTCAACATAAAGCACTCTCACAAAATTTAGGTCATTGTAGGGAAGGCTGTATCAGGGCTTCTGCGAACGGTGCTGAAATCAACATGGGAGTGGAGACAGTTTTGTCAACACATTGATTCTATTTCCTTTGGATAAACTCAACAGACGGATTACAAGATCATAAGGTAGTAGAGTTTTGTAGGGGATTTGTTTTTGGTTCTTTGTTTTGCCTGGTATCAGGGATCAAACTAAGGTCCTTGTGCTTGTGAGGCAGGCGGCCACACCACTGAGCTACATCCCTGGCCCTAGGGTTTTTTTATTGTTTTCGAGGACATCACTGCTGCTTTATATCAGGGCTGTCCTCTGTACTTCTTTGCATTCTCATTCTCATTCACATTGAGGAAACTTTCCTTTTTCTCCATTTCTCATCAGCATTTGTTGTGCTTTTATCATAACCATTCTGAGGTAATAGCTCATGATTTTGATTTGCATTTCTCTAACAGTAAGTGATGGTTGACAACTTTTTGTAGATTTGTACATCTTTTTTTGAGTGAGGTCCACTGAGTTTACTGCTCAGTTTTCAAACAGATTATCACATTTCTTTGTATTTACTATTTTGGTTGCTTATCCGTGGTTGGTAACAGGTCCTCTTCAGAATTATACTCTGCAGATATTTTAACTTCACATTCTTCACTCTCCTGTGCAATTTCCTTGTCATGCACATGAGTTTTGGTTTGATGTTATTCTTGCTCTTCGTCCTTGTGCTTTTGTGATCTTGTTCCAAGCACCCTTTCATATTCCAATATCCTGAAGCAACTGCTTTGTTTCCTTCTCCTAGTTTCAGGTCTCATATTGAAGTCACTAATCCATTTTGACTTAATTTTTAACATAATAGGGAAGGATCTAGTCTCATAAGTCAGCATGTGGATTTCTCATTCTAGCCAATTACTGAGAAGATTTCTCCTTCCCCCTGTGTGTTGAAAATCAATTGTTTTATGGTGTTTGGGTTTGCTTTTATTCTATTTTATCAGAGTAAACCTCTTTTTTGGGATCAAACTGGGGACCTTGTGCTGCGAGGCAGGCAGTGGCACAATTGAACTAAATCCCATGCCCCAGAGTAGACCTTCTGCCAGTCTTTCTAATACAGTGTTCTTTTAACAAGTAAAGTATTGCAGTATATTTTGAAATCAGGTAATATAATGCTTTATTCTCCAGCTTGAGACTGTTTGATGATTATTTTTTCTTCTAGTTCCATAAAATTATTATTTTCTCAGTATTGGGAGGAATATGCCATTGGTACTTTCGTAGGGTAGCCCAACTGGACCAGACTGCTGCCCACTGTCACACAGCACACTGAGCACAGCACCACAACTCGATGAAGTCCACTGGGCAGTGAGCTACTTCCTTGATTTGTTCACAGCCTTGATTTCTTCGTGACACCAAGTCCATTCTTACCTGTGAAAGTTCGCAACTTGAATATTTGCAAGTCTGGGATTTACTGTATTTTTTTTCTAGATTTTTAAAAGTACAGTACCGAAGAATGAAGTTATATGCCCAGATTGAAAACTCCAAAGACTGATCATCCATAAGTTCAAACTGATCATCATCAACTCCACTGAGTTATGCACAGCGGCACAAGACCGTCTGCAAAAGAACCTTGCCCATTCTAACTCGACTTATTTCGGTTTTTCTGCTTCCATTCCTTTTTATTTTATAAAAAATTAAAATATCATGCTGCTTGATTTAGCAAACCAGAGCTCTGTCACCTCATTCGTCCTGGTGGGGTTCTCAGATTACCCCCAGCTACAGGCACCCCTCTTCCTGGTGTTCCTCGCCATCTACACCGTCACTCTGCTGGGGAACTCGGGCATACTTGTTGTCATTAGGATCAATCCCAAACTTCACACACCCATGTACTTTTTTCTCAGCCATCTTTCCTTTTTAGATATTTGCTATTCCACTGTATTTACACCCAAACTCCTAGAGATCTTAATTGTGGAAGAAAGAACGATCTCCTTCAGAGGATGCATGACACAGTTTTTCTTCATTTGCATGTTTGTGATCACAGAGATGTTCATGTTGGCAGTGATGGCCTATGACTGGTTCGTGGTTGTCTGTAACCCTCTGCTCTGCACAGTGGCGATGTCTCCTAAGCTCTGTGCTCTCCTGGTGGCAGGAACTTACACGTGGGGTGCACTGTGCCCCGTGATACTGACATATTCTCTTTTGCAACTAACTTACTGCCCCTCTAAAGTCATCAATCACTTAGTGATACTGACATATTCCCTTTTGCAACTAACTTACTGCCCCTCTAAAGTCATCAATCACTTTGGCTGTGAGTACTCTGCCCTCATTTCCGTGTCCTGCTCGGACCCCTCCTTCAGCCAGATGGCTTGTTTAATAATTTCTATACTGAGTGAGGCCTGCAGCCTCCTGATCACCCTCGCCTCCTACGTGGTCATCGTGGTGACTATCGTCAGGGTGCCCTCCAAGGGTGGACTCAAAAAGGCCTTCTCCACCTGCACCTCCCACCTGATGGCCATCAGCACCTTCCACGGCATCATCCTCCTGCTGTACTGTGTGCCCAGCTCCGAGAGCTCCTGGCTGCTGGTCAAAGTATTCACCGCCCTGTATACAGTCCTGATCCCCATGCTGAACCCCCTCATCTACAGCCTCAGGAACAAGGATGTAAAAGAGACTGTCAGGAAGATAATCATATCCAAGTTGCATCCTCACTCAATTCAATTCAAGTAATTAGTCTTTTATATATCCTACCTCCATCCACTTTTATGTTGGTAATAAAACTTTAGCTTTAAAAGAATATGTAATTATGTTTTGCCTCAACCAAATATTAACTACTCAATGGTGTTCAGTATTTAGAACATTTATTTTTTTGTTTTAATACAAATATACTCTGATACACTTTTAAAAATTTTTATTTAAATATGTCTTCACAGAAAATTATGAAAATCATAATGAAGAAGAGATCTATATTTAGGACTTGCTTCCTATGCCTTAACTTCAAGTTGTCCTTAATAAAAATACTATAAACAGAGACAATAACTGGCTTTGCCCCATCTGTACAAATGTCCCCATGATCCACTCTTTTTAGTCACCAAGTTCTATAACACACATTCCTTAGTCTCCCCTTTAAATTTCATGTCAAATACAGTGAGGGTTTGGGTTTTTTATTATAAAAATAATGTAGTTTAGCAAACAGATGCTGAAAATATCAGCTCTTCTCCATACGAATTGCTCATTTTTGAGTAACTATGTAGGAAACCACAGTTCAAAGAAAGGTGTTGAAATAATGTCTTTGCAACAGCAAAATGAGAATAATGCAGCTTTTCTAGAGATCGCCCCATAGGAGAGCATCCTTTGGAAACAAGCTCACCAGTCATCTTGGGCCCCCTGGCCACCACATTCCACCAAGGGGCTACCTTGTTGACTTGATTTTCTAGGATGCCCAATGACCCAGCCTTCTCTATTTCTATTTTGAAAGACTTTCACTGTTGATCTAATGTCTAGGAGTTGTGTGAAAGCTTTTATTACTGAGTGGCACTATTCATTTCTCCTCCAGAGGATACCTCCCCCGTCCTTCCTTGTGCACTCGTTCTCTGGGGCAGATCCACTTGTGTTCGGAGTGACGGCTTCTGACAGGGATGGTTTGCAAAACTCCATTCTGGGCAATTGCAGGATCCAGAAACCTAAGTCTTGGTTAGTAGCTGCACCCTATTCTTTGGGGAATTTATGTACTTTGGGTTCCTAAATATCCATATGCTTTTTAATTACCTTATCGATTCATGGCTCCAGGGTAATAAATTTATGTGAACATAGTTCCATTTTTACTCTTTCCTGCTCTGTAACCTGCATTAGCCACAAAAGCACTTTGTCTCCTCCTTTTCATGAAATAGGAGCTCCAATGATCATTACTGCTTCCTGAGACTGGACAGCTTTCTAGTGGAGGGAATTCTCAGAGCCCCACCTAGACCTCTCCAAATACCATGGCTATTTTCTTGGTACCATCATTTCACTCTGTCATGTTCTTACTTGTAAAATTGAGTGGCTTATGGTTAGGGTTCTTCTTGATTTTTAATTAATCTTAAGTAATAGATTAATCTTAATCTACCACATGTAACTTCAGTGTTATTATTTATTCTTATAGTACAGATACATTTGTTCCACATCAAATCAGCACACAAGTCCTTGTTAACATTCAGTTAATATTCCAGTATCTGTAAACCCTACTGTTTACTAAAATAACATTTAAATGACAAGAATTGCCAAGGATGAAATTTAGGCCCATTCACACTAAATCTGTGCTTTAGATGTAATACAGTGTATCCACCTTAATTTATGCTAACGTGTAACTACTCGGGCCAACATTCAGTTAGTATAGATTTTTATATGATGATCTGAAGAATTAGAGTTTAATAAAAATGTTTACTACATTATATAAATTTATTAAAAGGAAAGATGTTCATCATTGAACACTGCATAAAAATATTTACACTTAATTACATGGGCTCTTTGGCATTGAAAATTTTACAGTAGAAAAATGAAATATATTTTCTTTATAAAGTATAGATTCTCATGTATGTAAATTATATTTGACACTGTTCATTTTGCTTCTTCCATACATCCTAGAACAAGAACATATGTTTATAACTGTATGTTTATCACAGTAGTTTGGCCATTTTTATCAATGAGTGGTGCATCAATTTGTATTACTTTTTGAAAATGTGACTGAAGTAATTTTATATTCATTTTCACTTCTCAGAAAAATGTAGAGATTTCAGTTATTTTTCAGCCAGTTTCTTCTGTGATTGTACCATATAACAAGACTTTATAAATTGCTCATATTTCTTATTCTGGCATCAGCTATTCAATGACAAAAAAGAAGCAATTAGGACTGGAGAATGACTAACTTGACCTCAACTGAAATACCAGACCCAGTGTTTTTGTGGTATCAAACAGAAAAACTAACAAGCAAGGATGTATTCACTTTCTGCTAGACATGCCATACAAAAAGTACCTCACACCCTCAAAGTCAAGCATTAATTAGCTGCTTGATCTTAGTCTACAATTTTTTTGAGATAAAGTCCTCCCTATGCTGTTGTGGCTAACCTTGGACTCACTACGAAGCCCAGGCTGGACTTGAACTCATGATTATTTTCCTGCCTCAGCCTCCCAAGTGCTGGGATTACAGGCCTCTGGCAGTGTGCCTGGCTTCTGGTCTACCATTTTTTTTAACTGTTCCAAGTCTAGCTTCCCTGGAATACGTTAAAATTATCTTTGCATGTCTCTCTCATTTTCATATATCTACATGTATTTCTCAGCATTTCATTGTCAACAACCATCATGGGGGTATTTTTGTGGTTCAAGCACTGACATCACTGTCTTTTTTCCCAAATTTGGGGCCTCCAGGGATAGATGTTGGAATTACAGTAGGTGAATGTAAGACCCTAGTGCTATCACCCGTAGGAATATATTGAGGAAAATGCGAAATATCTACAGAAAAATCTTTGCATCAAACAAAACCAAATTCTCCAAAGCCCCATTGAAAGAATATTCAAGAATTAGTATCAAGATTTTAAGTTGAGATTCAAGAATATGTTCAATACAATGTTAAATATATTCCTATAAAGATACATAGGCAAATTTATAAACAAAGGGAAAAGAAAAAGGAAAGCACATCTACTACATTTATTGTGAGGTTGTAGACAGATATGGCTGGTTTGTTTCATTTTAATGATTTTCTGAAGTGCAAGGTCAATGTAGATGCAAGTTGTTTTTTTTTTTAATTTTAAGATGTGAATATCAATGTAGTACTGCTGTTGATGAGATTACATTCTAAGCAACAGAAGAGGAAGATTCCTCTAATTACATTTTAATAGCTCATAACAACTAGCTCAAGATTCTCCAGGGTTTGTGTCCCCAGTACTGAGCAGTTAAATGGAAAACAACCTGATGATAGAATATAATTTCAGGGTCTCTACCTTGAGGTAACACTATGCTTCCTCCAGGATATTTTGACACTTAGAATATTATTATTTTTTGGTTATTTATTTGATGTTATTTTGCAAGAGTCACCCAGTGGAAACATTTATAAGTACATCTTAATTTTGAAGGATGTTGTGCCTGTGGTTTATTAATAATGGCAAAGAAATCATCGAGTACATAATATAGATCAGGAAAACCTGGACTTTGGTGAGTTTCTCCAAAGTTGTGCATCTTTTCATCCACTATGAGATTTATTGAAGTCCAAGATGGTAACGTCTATTTAATTCATCTAATGGTGCAAATCCAAGGCACTATATTCTCCTTTGTTTCTTTATCATTTTACCAAGTTTAAAACTATGTCTTTGTATGCTTTGTAAGATAAATTAGGAGTTCTGTATGTTTGTTTTTTGGGGGTAACTGGGATCAAATTAGGGTCCTTGAGCTTTCGAGTTAGGCTATGGAACCACTGAGCTAAATCCCCGACCCTAGGAGTTCTAAATATAAGCCTTGTATTAATGAAATTCATGAGTTTATGAAATACAAAGTCCAGCACATATGGAAACGTGCATACAAAAATAACAAAGTCTTTCAGAACTTTTTTAAACTTCTGGATAAATGGGGTTCAAGGAAAATAGATCAGGACAAAAATAGTGAATTGGATTAACCGGATTTCTTGGATGAGACCTGTAGGGTGCTCACCGTTGGAATAGGATACACTACAAAACTCCAGAGGAGGAAAGCCATTTGAGTGGATATATGGAAACAAATGATTTTTTTTATAGAATAAAACTGTTAAAAATCAGTTATAAATGATGTTATATTTATTTTATAAAAAATGTTATATTTCGTGACAAAATAATGTGTGTACACTTCCTGGGGACCTTATAAAAGTCCAAGGGGAATAGTTCTACCTCAATGCATTTTGTCCTCAAGTGATGTTTTAACTTATCGTCTTTTTCAAGTGTAAGAGATCCATGGATTGGACTTTCATGAACTATTACGAATCTTTCCATGCAAAGGAAAGGTGATAAAAGTGGGTGTGAATAGGGAAGGACGCCTTAAATGCTTCTTAGCTTTCCACTTTTTTCTGACGGTCTTTACTGGAATCACAAATGGAGATTATTACATGATAAGCAGAAAGGTACAAGATGTTTGGAAAGAAAAGGAATATGAACTATGTAACACTGGACAGAGAAATCAATGGAAATTTGAATTCAGAATGGAATGGTAATTCTAAAACTAAAAGTACTCCTGACCTATAAATTCTTAAGACATCCTTTTTCTTTTTGCTTTTCTAATTCTTTGGACATGAGTATGACAGATTTGTACAATCCAAAGACTCAGTTACTTCCAAAGAATAGCACTTTCACAAAGTTGTTACTGCGCCATTATTTTAGCAATTACTATATCCTCTGTGCATTTTCATGTGCCCATTTTTTTTGTAAACACAAAGCATGCAGACCTTGCAACCAAAACGACTGAGAGATGGGTAAGGAAGAGACATCTGCGGTTCTCCTGAGACTTCTACACTGCTATGACTCTCTGCACTTGCAAAAGTAAAAGCATATTATTAATGCAAAGTGGGTTCTTTCTCAGAACTTAGAGAATATTTCTCAAAGGTTTACAAATTTCTCAAATTATAGTGGTGTGCAGAGAAATAGAATATTCACAGTGATCAGCATGCTTAATAGAAATGGAATTATATGAAAAGATTCTAGGTAAATAGCCCTGATAGAAGGCAAGCAGTATGT